AGTTATATTTATTAAATATTTTCAAAAATAAATCGTTTAAATAGAAAAAATTTCGATAAAAATTTTAATTGATGAAAATTCAAGATGATTAAATAAAAAAGTTTAATAAATCAAAGTTAATTTATTTGTTAAAGATTATTGATAATATTATTATTTCTATAGTATTATTCAGAATTTATTTATTTTAATTTAAACAATTATATTCATAAGAATATTAGAAAATCTGTTATTTAGATAAAAAAAAAATTTTTTTTCTATATATGAATATAATCAAATATATTTTATCATTTATTTTTATTTTATTTTAAAAAAGATAATATTTATATTAAAGAATATTTTCAAATTTTTCATCTTCATTTTCGATTTTCTGTTTTCTTATTATAATTATAAAAATAAAAAATTTCACTTGGTTAAGATTTTCTTCGTTTGATAATAAAAATTGACAATTTTCAAATAAAATATAAAAGTATAAATTTAGTTTTTTTTTTTATCTATGAAAATTCTATAACGATATTTTCATTTTAACGAAAGCAAAGAGAAAATCGATAAGAAAATATTTCTACTAATTATCTTTATTTTTCTTAAGTTTAATTTATATGTTTATAAAGAATAAATTAATTTTTTTCCAAATGTTTTTCTAAGACATGTTTATTAAATTGATTAATCGAATTAGATTGATATTTAACTGTATATAAATTTATAACATTCATTTGTAAAAATTTTCAACAAAATCAAAGAAAAGAAAAAAAGAAACACATCAAAGTGAATCTAAAGAAAAATCTCTCATATTAAATAAACAAAGAAATGTTGGAAATTTTTTGTAAAATTAAGAAAATATTTCGATAAGATTTGACAAATTTTATGATTATCTGTGATCGATGTTTAACATTGATAAATAATATATAAAAAGGATATTTACATTCATTTTATATATAAATGAAATGATTGATTACTAATTGAATATCAAACACTTGGAATATTCAATATATTTAAATAATTAAATAATTAACATTAGAAAACATTAATCAAAATAATTCTTAAATAAAAACAAATGTTAGTGGCATAAATTATTATGAATTGACTATCGAACAAATATTCTAATAAACAATTGAAAATATTTGAAATCAATATTATAAATATCAAACGAATCTTTAGAATAAATACGAATAAAAAAAGTTTTTGTTTCGACTGTCAAAGTTCAAAAATATTTCGAAGGAAATTTTTCAGTGATTCATATGCTAAAGTTTATTCGGAATTTTTTAAATATTTATTTGATAGAATTATTGATAAAGAATTCTATAGAAAAAACTTCGAAAAATGAAGAATTTTTTTCAAATAGAACAGATTTATATTTAATATTGACTAATTTAATCATAAATCGATCTTTATTATTTTATTATTTTTTGATTGTTGAAATCGATCATTCGATTAATTTAGTTTATAAATTGTAGATACATATTATTTTATATCTTTCAAATTAAAATTAATATATTTATTCTAAATCATCAATCGAAATAAAAATCCAATTTTTATCAATTTTCAATAATTTTATTTTATTTTATTTTTTTTGATTGTAAAGATAATTTATCATCTCACTGTTAAGAGAAATCAAAGAATTTTATCGATTTTCAAATATATTTTTATTATAAGAAGAATATTTTATTGTTAAATATATTCGATGAAAAACTGATGATGAATATATTCTATCGTTTATTTATCAAATTTATTAAATATTCAAACAAAAAAAAACATAGAATCATTTAAAAAATAAATTCCTGAAACTGATCAGTCAAATATTCATTTTCTACTATTTATAATATATATCGTTGATATGTATATGAATATATATTTAGATAAATTCATATTCGTTTATATTTGATTTTAATTATCGAATAAAATTAATCATTAATAGCAAAAACATAATAATAAGAAGAAACAATTAGTTCTATTGAAAAATATTTTAAATTCTTATTCTTTTTCATTGATTGATCAAAATAAAACTTTAAATTCGATAAAAAATTGATTGATGAGCCTTGTTTACCTAAATATTTTTTAATTGATATTATATTTAATCTATAGAATTTTTAGATACAAAAATAATATTTATAAAATTATTATTGTTTTATATATGAAATAAATGCGGACACTTCGGATTTAAATCCGAGAGTTATGTGAACTTCAATAAGTCAATCATACGAATCAGTCATCCCAGAATAGAACTTCGAACCGAATTAATTTCAAAATTAAACTCTGCACATTGATTTACTCTAAGGCCGAATTCACACCGACTAACTCAAAGTGAATTAAAACAGAATTAACGAATAAGTCATCTCAAAAAGACGATTTAAGTCGGAATAGACCAATCGTGTCGCTCATTTTGTTTTATCTTTTTTTTTCAGTGTGAATTCGGCCTAAGAAAGACGTTATTCATAGAACTTCATTTCTATTGATCACTGATTAACCAATTGTATTTCGATGAAAGTCGAGTACAGATTCGAGTTCTTCATATCTGAAAACCTCGAAGTATCATCAGTGTGGTCGGAAGATAAAGTTCTATTTGTGGATCAATTAGATCGTCGACCAAAATATAACCTAGTTCTCTTTACTTATCATTGTCATAGGTAAGTCAACCTTCTTGTTTCTTTATGTTTTATATATCATTTTGTAGTTCTTGAAATTCTCTATCGAACGGTATATAATAGTTGGGGTTTTAATTGACTATGATAGGAAAAATCTTTTAAGAAAGTCGCGATGGTTCCATTTTTCCATAGAAAGCTATAGGAAAAATGGGTATTTTTACAATAACTCAGGAACCGCTCGGCCGATCCTTCTCATCTTCTTCTCTCGACCGAAATATTGTCAAGACTAAGCTGTGTAGAAAATTTCATCGCAATCTGACTCTCCTTTCGAAAGTTATTGTGTAAACGGCCGGACGGACACACTGACCGATTCTAGAGTGTACTCACTTTTTGAGTACATCATACAAAGGAGGTCACTTAAAGAGGGCGTAGTAAACTTAGTGTTGTTATTAGATAGCATGCGTAACATTACCAGTTGATGAGTTAAGACAACACTTTTTTAATACTTATTTGAACGATTACGTTGACGTAATATTCGAAAAAGACCTCGCTTATTGACCAATTTCAAATCTTGAGTGTGCGATTGATTCTGTTTTTGACTAAAAAATTAATTATAAGAAATTATTTTCTGATTAAATGAATTCTCTCGTCTAAAGATTGTGGAATATACAGAATATCTGAGATATATGAGAAATACAACACAATCTATACATTGATGATTACTTTAAATCTTTGTCAACTATGAACAAAATTTGTATTGTAAGAATATTAGCTGAAAATTGTAACAAATTTAATATTGAATCCTCAGATTCAATCAATATGAACAAACCGTGAAATTGTCTAATGTGAAAGATCCTATACTTTGCAATATTTATTTCTATAATCAAATAAGAATTTGTAGATTTTTTTCTTTTCGCAAAAATTACTAAATCGAACTATAGGTTATTGTCAGATTTGTAGATGAACGAAAAAGTAGTATCTACGCTCTTTGATATATCTTGTTTAATAAGTAAATTGTTTTTCTTCTGAAAAGGGTTATGTTCAACTTTAGACGTCTTTAATTTCATAATGATCGTAGGAAATCCTCTTTTTATTATAGAACATTTAAATATTGTTTATTGAATAAATATATGTGACACTAGATTGATATGAAAGAATTCTTTCGGTAAATGTCATTTGTTTGAAAAAAATGACCATGTTTTTGAAAATATGTTAAGATATTTCTTATTTTCTAAATAAATTATTGAAGCTTTATATATATATATTTGAAAGATTTGTTTTCTATTTAATCAACAATAACAAAAGAAGAAACTTTTCTTTCGAAAAAAATGATAAACAATATAAAAATAAACATAAAAATCTTTCTATGGATCTTGTCAACTGATTTAATTTTTTTTTATTTTTTAAAATTGATGTAAATTTGAAAATCCATTGAGACAACAAATAAAAAATGATACTGGAATAGTAAAAAAATTCTCATATAAAAGATAAATAATCCATGAAAAAAATTTTATTTTACAACGTTGAAAAATAGCTAAAGAACGAGTTATTATTGAAACTAACCATGGTGTTCACATTAAACTTAATCCAATACGTATTATTGATAAAAAGAATTTTAACAAAAGTATATACCATTGAAAGATTTATTAATACTTATGATAATTCATCTAATGATTTAAAATTATAATAAGTCCGAA